CTGATTTTACTTTCTTCATGTGGTGCATGATGGGAGTCGGCAATCAATCCAATTTCATACACATATAATTTACATAATCCCTGTGTAATTTATAATACCAAACATGGCAAGTTAATGACATAATAGACGTGTAGTGTACATTATTAAAGACCACTAGTGGCAAATACTTCATTTGTATTATGTAAAATAAAAGAATATGAACGAACTAGAAAAGAATGTCACCTGCTGAAAGTACTATGCAATGAGATTATTACAATTGGTATACAGTATTTGCTCTATTAGTAGTATATTTGCATACATAAATTACAGTCAGTGGTTTATAATATTTGAATGATCCAGTATACAACTATTGCAAAACTAGTTTTTATGCGCTTCTATTGGAGATGATGGGCTTCTAATAGAGCAAATACAGTATTGGAATAAGAATTTTGAACTGTAAAGTTGCTTTTAACCTACCTTATCAATTCTTTTTTGATTTACCATATTCCCACCTTTCTTTGTTTCTTCACTAACCACAATGCATTGCATATCAGGATCCACTATGGAGGGCCCAAATGGATCGATAATTGGTACTACCGATTGATCTCGAAGAACTGAGGGTTTGATATCCCTAATGAACCCTACCACATCACTAATTCTCTCTTCTATAGGGCAGATCAACTCGCATACTGTTTTCTCTGAAAAAAAATAATTAAGAAAATGTTCATAGTAAATAGTGTTTTATCCAATCCAAGAAACTGACAGAAACCCTATTAAAACATTACAATTACATGTATACGATGAAACTGTATATACTACTTTAAAGAGACAATTTTTACACTGGATGCACCTAGATTAAAAATCTTCAATAAACCATTTTGCTCTATTAGTAGCGTAAATCACAGAGGTGTTTCTATGGTTACAATAAGTAAGATTTTATTGGATGCAACAAATGTGATTTTGGGTTTACATGTGCTTTTATTGGAGATATGCTTCTAATAGAACAAATACGGTAACAGCAACTGTAAACAGTTACATTTCCACTGCTAAAAATGTTAAAGAACCATACACTGCCCATTATTGAGTGATAACAGGGCAGAGACTGGGATGCGTGTATTAATGAACAAGACACACTCAAGCTCATGATCTAAGCGAATCACCCCCTTATATTGGACAAGAATAAGGGTCAATGGCAAGATATTACACAAGGTGATGACTCTGCAGGAAATTAATAATCACCTTCATGAATGAACAAATTCAGTTAAACTGCAGAGTTGAAAATAGAGGTTCACATTATCATGTGATAAAGTAAAGCTATGACATCATATAATCACATAATAGTGGGCAGTGAAGAGGTCATTCATTTTAATTAGATGGCCCAAAATTACAAAAGATTGAATATATATGCAGTAATATGCTTGATCAGACATGAGAAAACAGACGCATAGATAAAGTTGCAGATCAAAGTGACCAGGATAGTCACTATAACTACGTTTTAAGAAGCCCAGTGAAATATTCAATAAATGTTTTTCTTTTCTCAAGAATTTACAATTTGTCTCTAGAAAATAAAGTGGTTTACAGTACCGGTAACATGTAAATCTACACTAAGCTGTCACTAGAGGGCGCTATACTTACTACAATTCATCTTTCCATCTGTAACACCAACTGTGATCCTTTCTTCTGCTAATAAACAAGACACACTCAGTAGAATCTTGTGTCCATTGTGCAATCTATCAAATGTTCCACCAAGAACAATACTGCCATATGATAGCATTTCTTTCATTTTCATTGTCCTTCGCAACCTTAAATTCACAGTTACGCAGATAGTTGAACTGCGGAGTAGATTTCACATTAAACATACTTCCAATGATGTGATGCAACTGTTCATTCTGAGGATAATCAGTCAGCACCACATCAATGTCTTTACTAAGTTGCCATGGAAATGAAAGATTCACATTTTTATTGCTTATGTTTGATAGCAAGACTCGTACATCTAAGTGTTGACAGACATCTGCGGCATTGGTGTAGATGCTTGTGACTAAATTTGTCACTTGTTTTGTTAATGGTACAATGGGTACACTGTTTACATCTAATGGTTGTCAGTCTGTAAATTTACATATAATGTCTCTTTGATACACTCTGCTGCCTGACTCAATATTGGTAATATACTGCATTGTATATTAGATACTGACGATGTTAACAGGAGAAGACCAGTACGATACATACTACCATGTACAACGTATAGTTCTACAAATTTAAACAGAAAACACATTCATTATACAAATGATGGATCAGACTGTGACCAAGGCTTCTTGCATTGAAGACAACTGATTGTGAGTTAGTTGGAGTGTGTGGAGTTACTGTTAATCAGTATTACCTGAAGGAGCTTTATATTAAAGGGTTGACCAAGTGCCAATTTGTCGACAATCAAAAACAGAGAACACCACCCCATTGAGATTAAAACATTAATAAATAAATATTAGAGAATTATCTGTTAATGCATGTAATGCAAACCATTTTAATTTTGAATTTTATGAAAAATCAGAAATATTGTAGTTTAAACATTCCCTATTATTAAATAGCAAACAGTTTATGTTTAACAGTTCTATAAGCGATGTTACCTCCATGATGACATCATAGAGCATTGATATGAATATTTACTATTACTGACTTCAGTTTTCAGTCTGTGATCACAGCATGGTTTTGCTTCCAGAGCTCTGTATTTTACTTGATGCTGCCAACATACTTTGGACACATGAATCTATAGAACTGCTGTCAAGTTATTTCTAATGATTGGTAATCTTAATGCATTTTTAATTCAAAAGTATTTTTTCTATTAGAAGCACATCTCCAATGGAAGCACATGTAAGCCAACAGTTGTATTTTTTTGTATAACAATACTGGATTATTAATGTAATGACAATTTAATTGAAGATGAGGAACACTTTCTATTGACTTGTCAGAAATATGTTACTGAATGAAAAATATTTATTAATAATAGAATCAAAATTTCATTAAAGATGTAAAAGACAGTGAAAATCTATTCATATATTTACTTTCAAGTACATGTACTACTTTTGTATCTCTATTACAAACATTATTTTAAATTCAACTGATTATATATGTAAAACAGAGAGGTTCTAATATTATTTATTTATTTACATAAATTCTATCACATTTCATAAAATATCAGTTTTTTGCTATAACCCAATGTAAAATTGATTACAAGGGAGCAATTAAGTTATTATTACAAAAATATTAGTTATTTTAAACAGATATACCTCATTAAATGATTATGCTACTATTAGAGCAAATATGGTATTTGCTTCAGTGGAAACGGGTATTTATTAGAACCTTTTACCTTCAAGCA